GAAAAGTAAGTACATACTGTATAATATCATTACGCTTCAAATTTTCGAGGATGTGAAATAATATTCCATCTTAATTTTTTTCACACTAATTATTGTTTATGTGTTTGAAACAAATTATCTCCGATTCTTGACTTTTCCTCGTATTTATTTTTGAAATTTGTACCGAGTCAAGGCCTGCCTAAGCCATAAGTTTCTCATTGTTCTCGCCATAAATGTTTGTTGTATAAAAGTGAACAATCATTATGCCTGACAGAAGTTGTTAATAGCATCATTTTTCCCGAACGGAATTCACATCTCCCATTAATCATCCTTGCGATGTATTTAATGAGAATTATAGAAAAATCGCACCGACTGTATCTGTACTAAACATGTTTGCATGTTTCCAATTCCAAAAAGGAAAACTCCTGCATAACATCATACAGCGATTCGAATTCCGAACCTAATTGCGAAACTAAAAAATCCGACTGAAGCGAAAGTTGCGATAATTCGGTTATCATCACTTAATTGATCGGATTTCGGACGCTTTTACTTTCGGGGATTTTTTTCACTGACGAGATTTTCCTGCGGACGTGAACCTGAGAGGTTCTTCAACTCGAAACCCACGCAAAGTTCGATTTTTGCGAACTATTCTCAATTTCAACGGTTGCATAATTCGGCCTTAAAATCAATTACTTTATGTAAATGCGGCAATACAAGAACGAGAAATGCAGGAACGGACTGTAATCAATAAAATTTAATTTTTCCGGGTTTGAATACCGGTTTGACCTTTGCCAAACAAAGGCTAATGGAAGTCTGAGGGCTGCATTTTCGGTTAAACCGGCCCTGTGCTCCAAATCTTTACTGAATTTCTAAATTGATGCAAATGCAAAAAACAAATACTTTGTTTGGATCGCTTTTACTGCCTCTCTAATGAGTCAATATTAATTAAAAAATACTGTTTGAACAATTCGCTAGTTTAATGAGAGCTAAAAATATCACCTGGATTTTTATTGTTTCCTAAATAACGTTTAAAATTCATGTATTACTTGCGAAATTTGAGAATTCTGCCTGACCTTCAGCCGTGTTTATTACAAATATTCCAAAGTGATCTGTCTAATGACATTTTTCTGTCAGTGATAAATGCAATAATTTATATAGGTGTCTGTATAATTATAAAATTAGAACGTCCACAATTACGACATTAGTATGTTCTAATCTAAGTAATTTTATGTCGTCCGTGTGAATTACATTAAAAAATTACTTTGGTATGACGTAAAGAAATACCATTTATAATTTTTTTTAATACTGTCACAGAAAAAATAATGATTTATTTAAAAATACTTAAAAATTTGCATACAAGTCACAGCTTATATTCAAGTATACAGAGGCCGTCTCAAAAATTTATTTAAAACTATTTTAGTCCCAAACTTTGTAAGGTACAAAATACAATAAAAATTTCGCTTTTCTACTTTTCTAGTTCTATCAATTTCTGTGTCATAATTATTAAAAAGCTACATCCAAAAATACCAAAAAACGTGGCGTGTTTTATTAAAAAAACATTAACTTTTACTGTAATTCTTTTCTGTATATTCCTAGAATAATTTCAGGCGATTATTATGGTCATTGATAGACTTCATCAGCCACTCGCTGATGTATTTTCGTTTTCGAGATGAAAATTAATTCATATTGAGTCTAAAGCACTAGTGAGGTAATTGAAAAGGTAATTCTGGTTGCTTTGCAACAATAATTGCAATTTCTTTAGCAACGGTATCTACAGTATGTCCCCGGATTGAGTTTACAAGAGGAAAAAAAATTATCTTTGATTTCAAAATCAAAGATAATTTTTTTTTCCTCTTGTAAATTCAATCCGGGGACATAAGTACTTTATATGTATAACACTTTTGACATTTATCAAGTTGAATTTGTGTGTTGACTTTGCGAAAGTATGGTTACAAACACTAACAATTAATTTGTTTTTGTGGTTAGTAGCATCGATTCTTGGTGGATAGGGGTTATTTATCCTCATTATTTTTGACCTAATAGAAAGGGGTTTTCCGGACTTGTTGGATTCTTCTGAATTTTTTAGCAGGTTATATCGGGACCACCTGTATATAATAAAAAACAAAAAAATGTTTGTTTAAAAAATTATTATTTTTAAAACGACGAACTTTTTTTTATTATTTGTTCAGGCTTTGTTTGTGATTTATTTTTAAAAACCCCGACGCTTCCTATTTATCCTTCTTATTTCCCAAAGTGTTTGCTTTCACCCAAAACCCGACTTTTGTTTGAAAATCCCACATGTTCGCTTTTTAGTGTTTTTCCGCTTGTTTTATTACCCCGTGTGTTTACTTTTGAAATATTTCAAACTCAGTTTTTCCATCTACCTCATTAATATTTTACAAAGGGACCGAAATAATTCGCATTACTGTCCATATTAACTGGAATGCTTTTCCCTCATACGGTATTAATCGATCCCAAAAAAGGCTTCGAATCAATTGCAATTATGTATTCAGGTCGGCTCAAAAGCAGTCGCTTTTAAATATGTATTTCATTCCTCGTGGAGATTTCTGGGTAAATGGACCGATCACGACTTGAAATAGTCTACGCCAAGACGGCTCAAGGCCTTAAAAGAATCACCTCTGAATCATGATCAATTGAAGCATTTTTGCCACCCACCCACGACTGCCGGCAATTAAAGCACCTTTCTTAATGGGGCCCCAAAAAAAAAGACAAAGTAATATTTCTTGTTACGCTAATCTCGAAACAATTTGCGCAGCCTTGACTTATCAATTAAACACAGGAATTATCAAAAAACAGGTTTTTTTCCTGGTGAAGATCCAAAAACAATTGAAAAAATCACCTTGAGGTTATACAGGACGATTCGGGAAAGACGAACCGCCCGCGTTGTTGTTTTTATCGGCGACTCGGTAGGCCGTGGAGCTTTGCTACCTTGATGGCGATGGCGATGATATTCACTTGTTTGTGTACCGGCCGGCAGTTGTTCCAAAGCGTTGCTGGCAAGTGGTCGCGCTGTCAAACGAGTTCGAACTTTTTACGGATTATGTGAATGGGCCTTGAGAATTTTTGCAAAATTGTGAGTAGACTGCGGCGGGCGAATGGCAATTGTTTAGTGTTAAACGGTGCTTAATTGGCCGAAAATTGGCAAATCGTAGGGTGCTAGGAATGACAGATTGATGCGTTTTTGTTGTGCACGGCCGACGTCGATTTAGATGTTATTACTCGGATGGGTAATTAGTACCATGCTGGTATGGAAGCCGTACCATTGGTCTTGGTCGCGGTTGAAAAAATCCCGAATGATTAATTGAGAAAAGTTTAATTAAAAAAAGATTTTTTCAAAATCTCAACTGAATTTATATCGGAATATCGTGGGCAAATTATGTTCGCTCTATTTCACAATTAAATACCAACAACTATGATGGTGGCAATTAAAAATGATTTATTTTAATTTGTGACTAAAATAGCGTATAGAAAGTGAGTTGGAATTGGAAAAAAACTAGAAAAAATCTCGTATGTATTACATAACTTGTCATAGTTTCGGTCAGTTGACATTTGACCAAAAATTTGGAAAATTCGAAATCAAGTAGGTACACCGTGACGAGCATTTCCTGACCACTTGTTAGTTCAATAGGTCACTTGTCGCATCTTTCAATTGTTTCGCAATTCCCGCAATTAAAAGAATGGGAAAGTTTCGCAAGCCTTCGATTGTTTCATGGAATGTCAAAAATCTGTCAAATTTTATCTGGAAATATTCATCTCGTGAACGTTTCTCATCAATTATGTCTTCGACAGACAGTTTATAAATGAGTTAAATCCAAAAAAGGCTAAGTGTAGTGCCGACATTTAGCTCGCAATTAATTAATTAATTTGAAGGATTTTATCCAATGTTATGATTGATGGGGAGCTGCAAAGGAAGCAATAGAAACTGGCAAAAATTTTAAAACAAAAAAGTCAAAAAAATATAAACAAATTGTTTATATTTTTGTTTAAGAAAAATATCTTTTTTGGATTTTGAATTTATTATACCATGCGGTCAACAAAATTGCTGATCGAAGTGGGCTGCGACTTAAAATTAAACTGGCAGTAACGAACAATTGTGACAAATAAATTTATTGGCAACATTGAATTATCACTTTTCTTCTATAGTTTGTGATATCAGGTTATTTAAGGTATATGTCAGCGGTGACCCCTTGCAATTGAATGACAATTGACTATAAAATTATGACGTTTGCATTTGAAAGTCAATGTTGCCAAATTAAGATTTTAAACTTGTGGCGTACTTGACGACAAATACCACAATAATAACAATATTTTAGTCACTTTACATTATTCATTGTTGCCAATTTAATTTCAAAGTCACAGGTCACTTTGATCAGAAATTTAACCAACGTATTGTAATTCTTGCAGATAATAAAAATAATCTTTCAGAAAAGTACTGAGACATGTTTTTTCCACGACTTTGTGTAAAATTTAAGCTTTTTATTTGTTTTAGCAGAAAGACAAATACGAAAACTTGGTCCCCAAAAACCAGTCTTGTGTGTTGTGAAATTTCGTTTTGTTTATTTGTCAAATCGTAATTTTATTCGAAATTCAAACGTTACCAAACACTTCTAATCGGTGGGCCGAAAAACTCGCCCACATTGTATGCGCCTCGGGCACTTGATGTTGCGATAATTTGAAACAAACTCTCATCGCATCAGTGATGGTCCATGCAAATCGGGCGACCTTCAACCATTACCAGAATTTTTGCTTTTCATGCAGACACATTAAAACAAAAACAGCTGATTGGCCTCTAAACTAGTTCTGTTGAACAAAAGAAATGCGCTATCTTCCAAGTATGAATTATCGAAACGGTTTTGCAACGGTTGTGAATGTAGTGGACCTTGGTTGTCCGTGCGATGAAATTCTTCTTCTTCTTTACGAAATTATATCGATTTTACGACACGAAATAACACTTGTCTCGCCGAAAAACCAGTTATCAAATCGACTATTACTTGTTCCAGGGGGCCCTCAAACATGACGTAACGCCGCCACTGGACGGAAGTTCGTATCTTTCACCATTTCCTTTGGATTGAAAACTAGTCATTTTTGGAAATAACCAGTGATTGTCGAGAAATGGAACAGGAAGAGGATGTTGTGGACGCGGTGTTTGTGACCAAAACGGTGAAAAAAGTACCCTCGATAGAGGCCCTCAACAGCGAAATGCCCGGAAAAAACCTACAAAAGGAGAGAGGCCGTAAAATGCTCAAGACGCTGCTGAATCGACTCCGGCTCAGGAAGTCGGCCAGTGTGTCCATTTCACTTCCGGACCCGACCTACCGGGTCGCCTATCTGGGCAACGTGGTCACAGGTTGGGCCAAAGGTAAAATTTTGTTTCACCAGTTTTTCCCTTTGACTGCAATTCCAATTATTCTTAAATGTGATTTATCAATCAATAAATAAATAAGCTTGTCCCCACAATAACAGAAACGTCATCAAATTATCGACTAACATATCAAAAATTATCCGTAAATTATCGAAAATATAATTAGATATAATACAGAACTGAAAGTCGTAATGACGAAAGTAAGTAGGTAATAAGATGATTTTAAAACTATGGACATTATGCGTTTTTATTTGATTATATTGTCAGAATAATACAACTTTATCCGCAAAATAGTAGATTTGCCACCAGACGAATTATATGCCCATTTTTGTCAAATAAATTGTGGTATAGTGTTTTTATTTGATTTTGTGATAATAAAATGAGGTGGACCAACCAAAAATATATTTGTAGTAAAGCGGACAAAAGCCATCATGGGAAACGTTTTTCAATTGAAATTTTGTGTAAATTGCAAACCGCACTTCTAAGAAAGTGAGCTGAATTAGAAAGTCGGCAGATTTCGGTTTATAAATCTAGCAGCATATTCATATGGAAAGGTAAAATTTTTACTTCCTTGAGAGGATGTACTAGGTGAACAAAAAGTATATGGAACCAAACGTTTTTTGCTTAAACTATTTATTTTTTGAAAAAATTAATTGATGAATGGTGATGTTTGATCATGAAATTTTTCGATTTTTTTCTTGTTTTTGAGTCCTGCAGAATTTATATTTTTTTTATATGGCAACCCACCATAATTTTTTTCCAAAAGCTATGATCTAAGCATTACAACTATCCACATTTTATTCAATTTTTATCGAAAAAAATTTTCAAGTTGTACAAAAAACGCAATAACACAAAATTTCATTCTCAAAACATGATCACATTTTTATGGCACTTTAATTTTGATCAATTATTATTTTCTTGTTCTCTTTGTATCTATTTTTATTGTAGTTCTGACGGATAAGGGAGGTAAAATTGGTCACTTTCCTTTTTGAAAGGAGGATGGAAAAAATTTACTTTCTGTTAGGGTCGTAGGAAAAACATCTTTTCCTACGACCATATACGAAACTAGAACATAAGAACAATTACATATGCGCGAAAATTGGCAATTTTCGAGATCGGAAACCTGTGCGTTTTGTTTTCGCACTGTGTATTAGAAATCTAACGCACAATTCACACTCGAATGTTTTGTATTATTTCATTTAACGTTTTTTTTTTGTATTCATTATAAAAAATAAATCGTTATTCATCGTATTTTTGTATGCATTATAAAAAATAAATCGTTATGAAAAAAAATATGTTCGTAAGAAAAAAAATATTTATGGTCGTAGGAAAAATAGTCTACAAAACTTGCAGGAAAGTGTCTAACGCACTCGTGGTATTACCTGCACTCGGCTAACGCCTCGTGCGCAACTTTCCTGGTTGTGCATTATTTATCATTTTTCGTGCTCGTTATGTAATATACTATTTCGCTACTAGTCAATGGGGACAGGCAACAAACAATGAAATTAATGAAATCACAAAGAAGACCGTTCCACAAAATATTGTAATCAACAAGGAATCTCAGTAACTATTTTATTTCATTCATATTATTTCGAATATAACACCTGTTATGAATAATTGATAAATTATCGAAGATATTATGTTCGTGAAATTGAAGCCGAACATTCCACTCGTTCTTCGAACTCGTGAAGTCTTTTACTGTTTTGTAAAAAAATATTTTCTATTTAAAAAACACTGCAAAATAAATTAAAAAATGGATAGTGTGGACTGCGGAGACAAGGTCTTTGGAAATTGCTTGCAATAAAACTACTTAAAAATTAGTTATCTATCTGGTAAAAAATGGAGTTTATAAAATTAATAACACGTCTTGCTTCACTACAGAGTTAACTCAACTTTATAACAAATATGAATCGTTCCGGCGGTGAAATCCTTGGTGAAAGCATCATTTCGTTATTTTTCTTCTGATGAAACACCACATAACATCGGTCGTTGCACTGAAAATGCATTTTCCTTTTTTAACGATTTTCAGTTATTTTGCCCCGATGGATAATTATTCATGCGAAGTTTTTACGCGGAATTAGTCACAGGACGCCTCCGCTGAAACGTCACCGTTGTGACGCGACTTTTTTTGGACGCACTGTAGTGACAAATTTGGTCAAACCGCTTTCCTACCAGTGTGACGTAACAAACATGTGAAAAAAACTGTTCTAGTGTGAGAGAAATATGCAGTGTAATTATCTGTCTGAAATTAATAACCGTTTTGTGGTTTGAATTGTAGTTTAGTTTTTTCACTCCAATATGCTAATGACTAAATATACTTTCTCTTTTATGATCCGACTGAAAACAGTAGTCATCACTCGTTTATCTTCTTGAATAACAGCTCCGAAAAAGGTCAAATGACGAAAAATTACGTCAAAAATGGTTTTGAATTGTTGAGTTTGTCCTCAACCTTAGACTGAGGCTTCTTAAATCTCGTTTTATCCTCATATCGTAATTAAATCTAGTTGTTAACACTTCAACTTTGACCCAAATTCTTGCGTCTACACGCAATCGCAATTAAGAAAATTTAATCCAGTTCAGTTCATCAAACTTTTACATTTTTCTTCTTAAAATTTTTGGCTAATGTTGTTAGTATTACCGTGAGTCTTTTATGACTAGATGAGTGCCAGAAATAATCCTTTTGGGTACTTTTTGACAACCTGTTTTTTTTTTTTAGAAAAATGTCATTTTTTTTAAATCTTTTAAATTCCCAGTAAATAAAATCTACTTGTTAACACTTCAATTTTGACCCAAATTCCTGCCTCTTGCACGCAACCAGTAGAAAAAGTCAATCCAGTTTGTGCAACTTAACAAGAATTCAAGTTAAAGAGCAACAGCCGAAATGAAAATCGGCTCGCAATTGCTACGAGTTATTACACATTTTCGATTATCTTCATTAAGTTTTTTATTACACAATTATTTCCAGGCAATTAAAAACTAACGAGGCAGTTTAATAACTACAGTAAAAAAGAAGACATTTTTTTCTTTGTTTGTCTTGGTGAAATTTCGATTTGTTACGTTTAACATTATTAATTATCTGTTATTGTTTACTTGTTCGGTAATGTCCCCAAATATTTATATAATTATAATCCAATTAAGTGCGATAATGCAGCGATATTCACACTTCTTGGGTAAACCCGGGCTCATTAAGTGAAGATATTTCGCGGCCTTGAATTCGGATGAAAAACGTCGAGTGCAACAACAAACAACAAATTCATATTTTACAATTCAAAGCAAGTTTTTGCACGAGTGGGATTTTCGCGACCCACGTGTGGCAGCACTGACCACAAAAAAATTCTTCGATAATAACAGGATTCACTGTTGATGGATTTTTGAAGGAAATATGCATGGGCGCTCATTCTTTTGCCGCCGTTACCAACTGTCTCGAAAAGTCACCAAAAACAATCTTGCATTGATGGCCGGTAATTACATGACACGTGTCCGTTTCTTTGTAGCAGCCTACTCTTACAATGTAATCGAAAAAGCTTTTTCCTATCGCAACGCAATAAAATACTCTTTCATTCCTCCTTGGCTGTAATTATTTAAACAGGTTTGCGTAAATTAAATAGATAGCTGTAATTATGTTCAAAAAAACAATTTTACTATATATAATAATTATGTTTGTGAGATGCCAAATAAAACCGACAAAACAAAACCATTAAGAAATAGAAAAAAAATTGCATGTTTTTCATTTTCTTGACCTCGACGAAAGAAAATTGGTATAAAGTTCAAGTAAATGAATCCCGGATCTTTAAATAAACTACGTGACACAGAAAATGTATCCTGAAAAAAGCTCAAAACAGTATTTTTTGGATTGGTTTTAAAGAACATGTACAAAAACAAAACGCAAATCGTTTACTGAAAAAAGGACAAAATATTGTTTTTATTTCTAAAAAATAAATTTTTGTTGTAGACAAAGATAGTGTCAAAAATGGGCACTGTTTGCTTAGTTTGAAGTTTTAATTTTGTTTGAACGAAAATATGATTTTGTCGTGGCCACCTGTTGAGCAATGAGCTATGAATAATTGAACATTTTTAACGTCAAGCATTTTAAATTACAATTAAGTTAATTTCTGTTGTCCAAGTACCAAATTGCAATTGATTATCACCAATCAATAAAATTAAATTGTTATTGTTTGGACGTCGTTAGGAATGTTTATTACTTGATTAAACTCGATTTGTTTTGTTTTTCAACCGAATTAAGTCGAAATAGTCCCAAAAATATGGCACTTGTTCTCGGAAGTGTCATTAGAATAAAAAACCTGATATTAAATTGAATTTTCGACCTTCTTTGCAAGTCCAAATTCAAGGCTAAAGCGTTTGCAAAATATTTATAACTATTATAGGGAAACTGAGAATGCCTTCGGCGAATATTTGTCATAATTAATTAACAGTTGAACCGGTTGTGAGAAAAACTTAATATCGCATTGTATAAAGAGAAATTAATTCGTATTTTTTGAAAAGTTTTTCAAGAACTCCTGACCTTGCATTATACAAATACTCGTAACCGTTTAAGTGCACTTTCTAAACAAAGTTCATAATGAAATACCTACTTTTACGCTAAGGTTATTGACTATAAAAGCGAGGTTTTACAGGAAGTCGAAAAATAAAGGAATCAAGACACTTGATAACACCCAATGTGAGAAAAGAAACGATCTGGATAAAAAAATCCTGTTTCTCGAGATTAAACGGCATTTGAATTGAGTAAATTTTAATTTGGCGCTTTGGAAAATGACCGGTCAATTTGCACACTGCTGCCAATCGGTCTGGTGCATCGCCAAATCTAAATTTGTTTGCTCTAATAACAAAGCGAAATTTGATAAACTTTCCATAACGTTAATTAGTGTGTTTGCAAATTTATTTGAGCAATAATGGGGATTAAGTCATTTTGAGCTATTTTTAGAGCAGTGGTGCTAACACTGATGGACAAAAACCCTAATAAATGAGTGTCAACAGTGGGACTTTCTTTTGTCATGTTGGTATTTATTAATTTTTGAAGTTTTTTTAACTGGATCTACCAACTTCCATTCATTAAAGTCTCTATTTTAACAATCATTTTAAATAAAGTGTGGATTTCTATTTTTTTTTGTGAAATTCCTTGAAAGTTTTCGGCGCCAGGCTACCAGGAAACCTCTAATTGAATTTAATACTTTTCAATTTTACGTGAAAAAGCAATTGTGATGACAAAGAAATGGCTTCGGAGAAATCAAAATTCAATTTGGTAATGCGTTTCTGACATTTTTCGGAGAGCTGAGTCACGTTCCAAGTGATGTTTAAAAGAATTGCGCGGGGAAAGCTTTCCAAAGAACATCGCCGATCACTGGGAAAGTATAAATGGACGAGAATAAGGGTCAAAGAACCTCTGCATGACATATAACGCAATGGTTCTTCCGATATAGGGGGCGCCGAAAACGGTACCTCTGCATGAATTTTGGGTTCAAATTTGTGTTCCCAATTTAGAAACGTTTCGAATATTTAGATTTAATCGCCTCAAGGCAATTGTTTTTAGCTAACTGCGTTTTCGTCCAATTCGCAACTTTCGAGTTTATTTCAATGTTTCACATTTGAAGAAAACCTTATTTTTCATAATGAATGACAATCTTTTTTAATTATGAGAATATAGTTTGGTACAAAATTTACGTTGAGATCATGCACCACAAAGCCAATTTTTGTAATAGAAATAAGCAGACGACTTTTTGCCTCTTTGTTGGCACATCCCGTTCATTCAGTCAACTTCTTGCTTTTATTCCTCCTTTCATTAAACCGCTAATTACCTCGGCACGTTCTCACCGACTCCGTTTTCCAGGTGACGGCTGTGTGGAAAAGCCGTTAGCGACCTTATGGCGGAACTACACGCAATCGTCCCGTCCCGACGTCCGCATGCAGCTCACTGTGAGCAGCGGCGGCCTCAAAGCCACCACCAAAGACCACGGCCTGACCGAATATTGGGCCCACCGACTCACCACCTGTTCAGCCCCCACCCAATTTCCGCGTCTCTTCTGCTGGGTCTACCGCCACGAAGGCCGCCGTCTCCGACACGAATTGCGCTGTCACGCGGTGCTGTGCCCCTCGGCGGCCATCGCCAAACTCATTGAAAACCAACTAAAGCAAGCTCTAGCCCTGGCTTTGGCCGAGTTCAAGAGAGACAAAATCTCGCGTCAAAATGCACGATTATCCCTTGTTAACTCGGTCTACGAGAACCCCACGATCCCCAGGAGGAAGATTCTACTAAGCACGGGATCGCACAACTACAAGCCCCCTTTGGAGCGATCGAAATCCGCCCCCAAGTTGACCAGCATCGAAGAAATAATAGAGGAAGAGGAGGAAACCCCCGAGCCGAACAAAAATGTTTACAAGAAGATTTTGAGGCATTATGACAGTACTAGTGCTCTGCTTGACAAGCGAAAAACTTTTGTTCGGAAGCTCCAAGAGTCGACGATAGTACCTGTCCGCGAAGATGCCTGTGATGACTCCTGCAAAGAGTTGACCCTCGACGAGAAAAGCGACATGATTTTGGAGGAGTTGGTGCAAAATTCCCTCCGAAACGACCTCCTCGAGTCGTGCGAAAGGGCCTGGTTTAACGCTTTGAGTGAAAAACCCGACTTGCTGCCCCCCGACAGCGACGAGGGGTCCCTCTCGAGTGGCTGCGAGTCGGCCTCCACCGTCACCTCAGACTTGGACCAGCCGGTCTTCCCGGCTATCTCCGAGGAGGACGAGCCGAAAAAGACTGATTTAGATTTTAAAGTCGGGGGCTGCGTGTTGGCTCGAGTTCGCAGTTTCGAGAGAGTCAACGCGTATTGCGGGTTGAAGATTYTAGGCAACGAGGAGGTRTCGCTGGTCCCCGTGGGGGAGAGCCAGGCCGACTTCAGTTCCTTGAAGGTGTTCAAGAGGAGGAGTTTGGAGACGAGGGAGATGTGCGAGGAGGAAGGCGAGAATGAGAGTGCGTGTAGTGACGAGAGCGGRTACGAGGAAGAGGAGGTGAATAGTTCGGTCGCTAATATTGTGCTAGTTTAGGGGTTGGGGTTGGTGGAGTACATTGCGGACAAATGTAGTGTATATATTGTATATAGCTCACAGAATAGAATGTGATGWTTTGTTGTAATGTGTTACCAATTTGTGGTGTAGATCGGGTGCACATTTCTTATTGTACCTCACTTCAGACAAAGTATTTATATTGTTATTTGATAATGATATTGTGTATTAAATAAATATTTGAGGAAACATTTCATTTCATATTGAAACTGCCTTTAAAAAGTAATTTCACACAAAATTGGGCCTCCAAGGTATTTGTAGACCCTTTGTATCACTTACTTTCATCTGTTTTCAATATTTTGCTAAAAAGCGCAAAAGAGCAAGAGAAAATCTATGTGTCTTATTTTCTTCCAGCTCCAGCGAACACAACAAATATATCTATTTAAAAAAAAAAAGTAAACAAAAAATTGAGCAGTCTGTTCATTGGGAGACAATATAATTTCTCACTACTATTACTAGCACAGAAAATACACCATTTGTTTTAAAAATTACTGGCCAAAAGGACAATCAAACAGACAGATTATCAATAAAAATTGATTTATTTTTTTATAACTTATGTTACAATGTAAAAAGTTTAGATCCTGGAGGGATATAACATCTGCAACAAAAAAATTAAACTAATCACTACGTGTCGTAACAGAAGAAGAATTAGTTATTTATGTGATAAGTGCTCAGTTAAATTTCTCTTTCAATGAAAATTCAGGTTTCAAATGTCTTAAACATCACAGCAAACATAACCTCAAAACCCATTCTCTCTCATAAAACCCCCTACTTACAATGCGAATGCGATGTCCCATAGCCTTTGCCGGCAAATTCCTCTTAAACTTGGCCCTGACGGCTCCACTGGTGCCATGCGGTCTCGTTACTTTACCCCAGATGGCTCTAACCTTACTTTTCACCGATTTCGGTTTTCCAGGAACACAAGTCTTGTTCTTAGCTTTGTACACGTAAACGCACTTCTTTCCAACGTAGAACCAGCTATCAGGCTTGGCATTCGTGCCCTCAATTTTCAAAAGTGCGGTGTTTTCGTGTTGGTTGCGAAGACCGCGTTTGTAACCCGTGAAAATCGCTTTAGCGTATAACCTTCCATGTCTCTTATGAATCCTTTTTTTCGGTGCTACATTCTCCGCACCTTCTTTCGCGGTTTTGGTCGCTTTAGGCTTCTTCGCTGCTGCGTCTGCCATCGCTGCAAAATAACACACATGTAAACAAGTTAGGTTAATCCAGGTTTATCTGAACGGAAATGACACAATCCGGCCAGAAAAACACACGGTTGGGTCACGCAAATCGTGACTGAGCGGGATTTTGAGTTATTTTCAACAAAAATGGCCCCATTTTCATGAAATTTAATTAAATTGAGGAAACTTAACTTACCGAAATGCAATTCTGTCAAAAAAGAATGACAGACGTAATGTCATCCAATSAGGAAGAATTGCGCAGGACTACCAACCTTTAATCAWTACCTAACAAAGCAAAAGATTGGTATGCAAYCAATTATACACACATTTAGAGTGCCCACAAGTCACTTACTGCGCTGTTTTCATAAATCRCAATGGAGTCTTTACATAGAAGAGAGGGAAGGGAATTGTAATATAAATATTTTATTATCATATAAATATGTACAATGTAAGGGCAAATGGTAAAAACTACTCATTTAATTTATGTACATGATATCAGTCCCTTTTTACACAAAAATAACTAAATAAGCTTGTTCTGGCAATTTCCGTGATTGGATTTTTTATCACACACTTATCCTGAGTTTTGCCGACTTTACTTTGCAGACGAAAACACAAAATAAAAAGTTAATTGAAATGAAATTTGAATTGGAACGGACTTCCGTGGAAAGTGTGGAACTGATGGAAGTTGGGCATTCCTCCTCGTCCTGATTCAGGATCAAGAGGATCTTCACCATTATCAAACTGTCTTCGCTTTTCATCATCTGTCAAAACCTAGAAACACCAACGTTAGCACATACCAGGATTTATTTCTTTTATTAAACCGACCTCTTTAGCGGCAGCAATATCAATAAATTTCTTCTCGGCAATTTTCTTCATTTTCTCATCATTCTGGTAATTGTCAGGATGCCATTTTTGAGCCATTTTTCTGTACGCTTTCGTAATTTCCCTCTTGGAAGCTGTCCTTTTAACACCTAGGATTTTGTAATAATCGCGACGTTCTGACTGTTTTTGCCGGTTTTCGGCCTTATTGAGCCCTTCCCGCGCCCGTTCAAACTGCGAATTCATTTCTAAAGCCGCCTTGTAATCTCTGATGGCGTCGTCGTACAGTTCTGACTGTAAATACGCCTCCGCTCTATCACAGTAAACATTTGGATCATCATTTATACCTAGAGCTTCAGTGCAGGCTGTTATCGCGTCATCAGACTGCTCATCATTTGAATAACAAGCACACAACAAACGCTTGGCATGATAAATGACATTTTGAACCTCTTTCTCGTTTTTTTCGGCTTTTAAAGCTGCGTCGATACACTCYTGATAACTTTTATTCTCTAAAGCTGTCTCAGCTTCAGTCAAAAATTTTTCCACTTTTTTAATYCTTTTGTAAAAGGGGAAGCAATCTTTGTGTTCAGGATCAAGTTTAAGACATTCCCTTATCGATTTGAGGGACTCGGAAGCGTGACCCAACTTGTATAATAACTGCGATAACTTGAAGTAACCTTCAGTGTTATCACTTTGAAGCTTTGTGGCTGATCTTATATCACTGACAGCCGCCATTTCTTCACCATTGTTCATATGCATCTCAGCTCTAAGTTCGTACAATTGGGCGGCCCAGGGGCTTGTCTCCAGAGCTTCTGTGACTAAATTAATTGCGTTTATGTAATCGTCATGAGCGTAATAATACTCGGCCAAACGAACTCGTTCTTTGGCTGGGTCTATCCGCGCAATTAGATCATTAGCTTCCTGATTGTAGGGATCTGTTTTTAACTAGAATTTTTGTCGTACTTAACCATTTCTTAAAAACATGAATCGCCACTTACCACATTATAAAAATCTAATTGTGCCAAGTCATAATTGGCCTGTTTTAAGTGAATATTTCCTCTACTAATTCTAGCCGCTGTAAAATCTGGTTTCATCTCCAGGACCAAATCAAAGTCGCTGATTGCATTTTTCGCTTTGCCTAAAGCGAGATAAACAGTGCCTCGTTTGAAATATGTTAAATAATTGTGAGGATCGCCCTCTGAAACAGATATATTGATAGTTGAAGAATTTATTAAAGTCGGGGAAAATATTTACCAACTGCCGAATGATAATGACTCAAAGCGTCCCCTAACTGGCCTTTAGCTAAATATTGTTTCCCTAGCTCTAAATGTCGGTCAACTTCGGCTTGGTTTATACATTCCGAAACTGAAAAATTGAAATTATTGCAAATTTTTGAGGTTATGACAACTTACGGTCAATAAAGATAAATAACGCTAAATACGGTGTTAACTTCAACCAGAGGTTTCTATGTGTCGTTTCCATTAATTGTACCATTTGTACTGTCTTTAACATTATTTACAACCACTTTCCAAGTAATATTATTCCATTTTGTGACATACACGAATACAACAAATTTACGTTTCGTGGTTCATTCTGATTGGTCCAACACATGACAGTCGTACCACGCGAAAAAATCCCCATAATTTTAAAATTTTTATTAAAACAATTAAAAACTATAATTATCACAATTTAGGTAAAAACTTATTCCTTTGTGAGTGCTTAAACCGGTGCAATTCTTGTCTAAAATAGTCAACAGTCTTTTGGAGGCCGGTGTTGAGATCCACTTTTGGCTCCCAGTTTAGGTATTTTTTCGCGCGGGTGATGTCTGGCCTGCGTCGCTGCGGATCGTCCTCCACCTCCGCCAAATGATTGATTTTGCTTCGACCGCCCACTAAATCTTTAATGATTGACGCAAATTCTAAAAATCATCATTAAGACCCTTTTCAAAACTTCCAAGCAATTACCATTAATTGAATGTTCTACGGGATTCCCCAAGTTCACTGGGAGAGTATAGTTACTATTCATCAGTGTTACCAACCCGTCGACTAAATCGGAAATGTACTGAAACGATCGAGTTTGTTCCCCAGACCCGTAAATCGTAATTACGTCATTTTGTAGCGCTTGGAGAATGAAATTAGAGACGACTCTCCCGTCATTCATGTGCATTCGGGGGCCATAAGTGTTGAAGATGCGGGCGACCCGGACTTGCATGTTTTCCTGTTTGGCATAAGCATAAGTTAAAGTCTCTGAGACTCTTTTACCCTCGTCGTAACATGCACGAGGGCCTACAAAACTGTGAAAGTTTAGGGACAAAACTACATTGTTGCCAACCTATTGGATTGACGTGTCCCCAGTACGTTTCAGGTTGGGGATGAATGTCTGGGTCTCCATACACTTCTGAAGTGCTGGCGATTAGGATTTTGGCGTTCAGTCTTCTAGCAAGGCCTAACATATTTATTGTACCCAAGGTGTTAGTTTTAATCGTTTTGACGGGGTTATACATGTAATGGGGAGGACTAGCGGGGCTCGCGAGATGATAAATCTCGTCAACTTCAATAAATAAAGGATTCACTATGTCATGATGAATTAATTCGAAATTCTCATGACCTATCCAATGTTCAACGTTGCGTTTCCGCCCCGTGAAAAAATTATCAGCGACTATGACTTCATGACCTTGGAGCATTAATCTATCTACAAGGTGTGACCCCACAAAACCGGCACCGCCAGTTATCTACAAAACGTTTTTATTCATTGAAACACAACCGGGAATATATTGTACCAAAATACGTTTTCTCGAGAGGTAGTTTAGGAACTTTACTTCGGGGTACGTTCTGGGTACCCTTGACTCAAGAGCTAAGATTTTATTTTCCAATTCTTGTATTCTTTCAGAGGCTTCTTTAAGAAGGTTCTTGTTGTACTCGAGCTGGTCTTGATATAAGTGTAAATTGTATACATTTTCGGCCGACTTTTGCCGATTATACTTAATAAAAATCAACAATACTGCAACAAGGGGAAAAACATAACCTACAAAATTTCCGACAAACTTTGCCTTACGAATAGAAAGAGACGCCACCAATACGAGCAAATGTTTAATCTTCCAAGTAACCTGAATCATGTTACGCAACAATATTGCATTTTATGTCCATTAAAATCTATTTTAATTGGTTTAAAATTTCGTAATTGACATTACTGACACATTTTAGTGATTTTCATTCTAATTGGCATGACTGTCTGTCAGCTATGCTAGAAATGTCAAAAAATCGTTTCTCAAAAGTGCTGGTGTTTATTTTTTCGAAGATTTTTCTTAATTACGGACTCTAATCAGAATTAACAGTCATCAAATTGATTCGAATCCGATGTCCCCTGGTGCCGACCCCAAAATCCCTGCATGTCGCCCGACTTGAAGTGCGTTAATTATTTTATTTTCAAAGACGTAATTTGAAGGTTGACTGTTTGACATATATTAATTAAGCATCCTACTACAATAACAATATCGGATTGCTTATTATCTCCATAAATTCCCACATTATTATGATAAATCCAGTTAAAAGCCCGTTTTAGGGGTGTCTGTTTTGACCAAACAAACTTTACTTGGCGATAAATTATGTGATAGTTGGATTTTTATATAAATAACGTTATGAAGAAACCGGAGTTAATCTGCTTGCTGTGCGTACTCCACTACACCTCGGCTGAAATCTACGCTATACGTTTTGTAAGTACATCAAAAATGCCAATAAAATCTCTAATCAAGCTCGTGTTTAAGGACTCGCAATTCTACTTTGACGAATTTGAAGATGTCCCTGCCAGTTTTGGGAAGAAATTGTCAGATGGAGGTAAACATTATGATACAACACTAGGTCATAAGATAGCGTATCTTATCACAAGCATGTTTTGCTATAATTAAACATTATAAACTTTAAATCCATGTTTTCACAACAATTTTATTAATTTTTGGCAAAAAACAAGTGGTTATGCAACACGTTATACAAGATTAGTTGAGTATTTCCCCCGTTTTTATTACTATTTTAATGACTTAACTACAAACTAAACAATCAAATTATCTAGATTTTTTTAAATTTGTAAAATTCCTATTGAATGCTTTGAAACGGATGAATTAGTCACAGCTTTGATTATTGTTTTGTATTGTGGGAGTGTAACTTAATAATATCGTCATGTCTATATTTAATTTTTTGCTCAATAATAATAATGATCGAGTTTTTTTTTTCAAAAATTTTATGGGTTAACCTATGGTTTATACAAATTTGTCATGTAGATATGTAACACTGGGGTAAAATATAATAAATATCTTGTTTATACTCTTTTTCATATTAATGTGCATCAAGTAGGTTGTAGAAGTTTAAATGAGTCTAAATGAAAAGTCCGACTTACACAAAATTTAATCACATCAATAATAACAAAAATCTTTATGTTTCCTATCCTATGTTGATTACGTTGTTAATTTTAACTATTTTTTGCTACATTTATTTGAAAAAATAATTTTTAGGGAAAATTGAGTTTAGGATTGTTTGAATTTTCGCATGGTTGCCACCTTAAAATGATCCCTTTCAACGACTACTTCGATGCACATTAATATGAAAACGAGTATATGCTATTCTTGGTCTACAGAATTTTTAGTTTCACCAAATTCGGTTCATTCCCGATAACATAGTAAATAGTGTAATCTCATCTTTGAGGTCACTTGATAGCAGCTGCTGCTCAAGTAACATTTTTTCACGTCAGTCTTTTGTTTGTTTGTGTTCAGTGGTTCGCGGTATCTTGGTGAACGCCGACCCTCCTGACGGCTGCACCAGCGCCCTGAAGCCGCCCCCCAAAGACGTAGAGAACGAAACAGGTCGATGGATCGTCCTAATGCCCCGCTATAACGACGTTTTGAATTGTTCTTTCGAGCAGAAGGTCCGTATGGGTCAAGGGGCCGGTTACGACGCCGTCGTCGTCCACAATGTCCACTCGAACCAACTCGTCCCAATGTCGGCGAAAAACGACACCGGAATTAACATTCCTTCAGTATTTGTCAGTGAATCTTCCGGCTTGATGTTGAGAACAACCTTCGCTGATCCGAAATATTTCATCGTGATCACTGGAGAATCCCCGTTTAATATTCAGACGCATCTGCTGATCCCCTTTGCGATCGTAGTCGGGATCTGTTTTATTGTAATGATCATCTTCCTAGTGGTGAAGTGTATTAAAGACAGGAGGAGGCAGAGGAGACACCGGTTGCCGACGTCGACGCTTAATAAGATTCCGATTTGTAAATACCAAAAGGGGGACCCGTACGAGACGTGCGCCATATGTCTTGATGATTATATCGAGGGCGAGAAACTGAGAGTTCTTCCATGCAATCACGGTATTTATTTATTTTTTTGGTATTGTTTTTGAATTTGTTTTTTTGCAGTTTACCACACGAAATGCATCGACCCTTGGCTGACCAAGAACCGGCGCGTGTGTCCCATCTGTAAGCGCAAGGTGTTCGCGCACGACGAGCCCCAACACGACTCTGACAGCGATTCGGACGCCGATGATACAACCCCTCTTATTAACTCGAATAATAGGGGCACAGAAGGGGGCACTTTCCAGCAACAGAGCGAGAATCCGTTCCGTCGGGCTGTTCGCTCTATCTCTCAACAATCGGGAGCTGCTAATTTTGTCACGGCCTCCGATCATCATAGCATCAATGGAGATTATCAAAGTTGTAACTCTTCAACAACAGGATCTGAAGAAGAAAGCGGACGCGTTTGTGATAATTTAGATGAAGTTCATGTTCATACACAGCTCGAGGAGAGTCATAGTAATGGAGATGTACATGTTTGAGTTGTTTTTTGGTTATTTCCGATTTGTTTAGGTTAGTTGCTTTAACTTCTAGTCTCGGACGAGAAGATTAATAAGTGCTGGTGCTATTATCAGTTGAATTAAATTTATTCTCTTGTATTTTTTATTATTAGTTTTATTTTTGGATGATTTCGAGTCGAGGCACAGCCTGTATTGTAAGTTTATAACGAAATATATTTTTGATGGTCAAAAATTATTTTTTGTTATGGTTGTGATTTAAATTACTAACACATTTTATTTTTAAATTTTATTTGTATATTTATTGTTTTATTATTATGCCAAATAATAATCGTAAGTATGTGTAAAGGAGTCTCAATCTTGACAATAACACATCCTTTGATATACTGGGTGGACAAATATACGTTGCACACCCTGTAATTCTTTTAATGATTATAGGAGTGGAGTAGTTTTTACATCAGGTCTATTAGTTGTATTTAACAAATGTCATCATGACCACATTTTTTGCACGAAAATGCCACCAATGGAACACTATATTTTTTTATTTTTGAAATATTGTATGTGTAATTCATTGACACCATATAAGTGACATTTTGTGGGCTGAAATAACTTTTTATTTATCAGTGCAAGCCGGTTCTGAAAACTGAAAGTAATTGCGCCAACTTTAAAAAAATCATTCTTGCTTGACCTTGCTATCTCACAAATGGTATAACACTATTGTTAAAATTTTCGTTTGTTTCCTTATTTTTCTGTTTCTTTTTCCGGGTTTGTATAAACTCGCAAAATATTTTCAAACTCAAATAATAACAAATTTCAATCAAACTTAAAATACTGAAACCGAGACAAAGACCTAAAAGGCCGCCAACATTCGCTGAAAAAAATCTTTCAGAAAAAATTGTTTACTTAGTTAGAGATTACATAAAACTTCAGTGAAACCGTAAATTTCACTCTTAATTTGTCGTCGATATCGACTTTCTTTGAAAAAGAAATGAAGCACGGCCATGTTCTTCCTAAAAAAAATAATTTCAAAATAGTGAAATAAATCGTGAAATGAAAGTACACGAAATATTCATTAGTCACATTCTCCAAATTCTGATTTCTTGAGATTTGGTACAACGTACTGGAAGTTGCGCTTGCCTCATAATTCATTTCGTAACAACTTGCCAAACAATTACAACTCGAACTGGAAATAAATAAAAAAAAAATGACTAAACTCTTTTTTTCTTAATACCCGTTCCCATAAATGAGTTCCATGTCCTCTGCAAGACCCAATTAAAACACGAAATATTTTAAAAGACCTCACCTTTGGCCTGACTTGTACACTTCTCGTCCCGTTTGCCACAAACAGGAACATTTTTATTTTCTAAGAACATGAAAAAAATTCAAAAAATGCAAAACTCACTTGGTAAGTAATAAGGGATGCAATCACATTTCCTTAAAGTGTGATTCGACTGGCACTCAAGTCTGCAATTCCGTTTCGTGTAACTCCTGAAAAATAGTAAAACAATGCTGATATGTCCGCTTTTCTTACCTGAAATATCTCAACGGACGTTCGTCCTGAAAAAAACATTGCCTTTTTCCCACGTCGACGTACCGCAACGACCTAGTTGCTTCCCGGATTTCCGGTTGAATGACATACCGCACCTCAACTCCGGGACTTACCAAAAAACCATAATCTTGAATTTTGGGCGTCTCAATCGGATTCGATAACATAATCTACAGTTTTTCACATTTATTTTGACCAAAAATTGCATATTTCTTACTTTAAATCCGATACTGTTGGTCGAGGAACAGAAATAATTATCAGTTTGGGCGTCCACGACAATTGACAAACCCAGATGGGTCCCCGAGCCGCTGGGTCTGATGGGAATAGTTCCCAAATCGCCGTCGTTGTCATTTTTGAAACCCTTTTCAGGACTCCAGTCGTAAATTCGTTTCGGAAATGTATGGTTGAGGTAAGTGTAATCGTTACTGGAATTACTTCTGAAATATATTTTTTTCATGATTTGCTACTTACGGATTTTTGAAAATATTTTCAGCAGGGAGACGGTTAAAGGAGCAACAAAGGCCTTCGTCTGTTAAATCATTGTTGAAATATTCCTCACAACTGATTTTGTCGTTTTGCCAAATGCATGATTTTATAGTGTCGGAACAAGTCTGACCAACCTAAAAAAAATTGTTATTCCGAGCTAAGATCCGGTTTGTTTTACCCGGATTAAAAAATTCTGGGTAATGTCCCAACTTGGTGACTGGGTGGACGTTTCAAGACTATTATTCTTAAAGTTGCAATAATCGTTCAATAATTGTCGCTCAATTGGATTTCTAAAATAATAATTTAACTCAAGTATGACACACATTACTTTGTCTGCTACTGTTCGTTCAGGATTCGTTCAGCTTCGACCCGTTTTATTTGATTCATGTTACARATAGTAATTGATGGGAAAGGAATTTGATTAAAAGTGGCATCAGTCGGGTTAAAGGCTACTAAAACCGGACTACTATTCCATTTTTCGAAAACATTATTAATGTAATAACAGGCAAAAATGAAAGCTGAAACAAAGGCCAATGACCAAAAAAATCTAAAAAAATACAATTAAGAAATTTTTTTTTTAAAAGAACAGGCACCTCTCAGCCAATGAGAGTGAAGTATCCCCGATATATTTCAACCCATGTAGCGTACTCTTATCACAATAATTCTCAACGTTGTGTAAAACAACTTTTAGAAAATTTTTCGCAACTTCTGTGTGGTTTCTCTTCGGTTTTGAGCCGCTTCTTGGGAGTTTTACAATCAGAAACATAAAAATTTACGCTAAACTTACCGTAATGGCAACGCTAAAGCAAACTCATCCTTGACTCTAAAAACCGGTGACGAAAAATTCGGATGTGTCCAACCGTGAATCTTTCTCGGTCTTATGCCACTCTCCGAGTACATTCTGCGTCCACTTTTTTTCTTCCGGTAAACCTGAACGATTAAATTCCTTTGAAACTTTACATCGTCATATGTGACATCTTTAATGATAGGCATGGTCGTCGTGAAATGATAACGTGGAGTGACATTTTCAGACAAGATTACGGTGATATATGAGGCTTTTAATTGTGGTTGCGTGTTTTTAATCGACTAGTCCATCAGTCGAAGGTTTAACATTGAGTGCTTATTAGGTTGATTTTTCTTCGGCCGAGACAAGCTTAATTTAATGTAAATAAATGGAGGGCGATGAGGCTTCGTGTTTTTGCGTCAATTAATCTTTATTTTTACCGGGAATTGGGCCGTAATTGATTTTTAATGGGCTTATCAAAGGGGGCATCTGGGGGCTAGATAAACGTTTTATTGTACTGGTGACTTAGTTTAAAGGGTTTTATTGTAAGGTATTAAAAACAAATTATTGTAATTTAGACCGCTAGGTTTTGATGTAAAATTGGTTGCCTATATTAAAAGTTTAAATTGCAATAGTTACTTAGAAATTATTTTTAGTGGAATTGTTTTAATAGTTTATGAACATACTTATGTATGCATAAGTTATGGTTTTGCCTCTGATATCGTTYAGATTTTGAGTTACCGTGTCATAACCTCCTTTTTTTTCCTTTTCTTATCCTGAARATGCCCTTTACAAGAGCGGATAAAACGTCGACCTTTTTTTCAAAATTAATGCGGCCTAACCCAAAAAGACCTAGATTTCAACCTAACTCTGACCGCAAAAGCCTACGTTYTTAAATTACAGACTCGAATGATTATAAAAGCTCGGCTCACGCCTCGACTTTACAACATTCAATCGCATCTATTATTTGTTCTTATCGGTYTTGGACCGATAATAACTAAAATGGAATTTTGTTTTGTGGTTAGAAACAAAATTTATGTTCTTTTATTATACAGGGTGTTAACAACAATTTTCAAACGAACTTGTTTTTGGTTTTAAATTTAGGTAAAAAAACATTTTATTTGTCTACCTTCGTTCGCTTACTCTACATGAAAAAAATAATTAACAGAAATAAATCTTAACATATTCATAAACAACTCTACAGAAGAAAATAAAACGTCTAAATACTTCCTTGCATGTTCAGTGATAACAATCGTCGACTTTTTCATAAAAGTAATGAAAGGTGAAATGTGTCTATTATGTGTATAACTTTAATTTACGTTTCTCATGCAAAAAATCCACAAATCAAAACTAAATCTCAGACTTTCGCAAATGTACTCAACTTACCCCCAGTGTATTATTTTAATGATTTTCAAGCTCTGAACTGTGTACAAACCACAGCCAAAGTGGTACTAAAAATTTTCCACCGCTTATCCAGTCCTTCAGTTGCATGTTATTTTGTTTAATTTGCATGTTTATACCCACTACTTATTACTCTTTAGTAAATAACATATAATTTTTTAACCTCAATAAATGTTGGTTGTCTATGCACCCGGCGATTACCATTTCGCCCTTTGTAATTATCCCTCCATCACCGCCGACGTAATTGAATAATAAATCTTGAGTAAATCATTAGATACACTAATTCGGTTAATTATTCCTCGTCGTTTGTTTTTTCCCATTAGACAACATGTCAATTATTCACACACCGGAAAAAACAATCAATATTTTAATCAAGTCTGGGTATTTTTCCGTGGCCCGATTTTTGTTATTTAAGTGCGTGTTTTTTGTGCGTATTATTTGGGCAATAAAGGCCCTCAGGTGAATAGCAATCGCGATATGCGGAACCGGTAGCGCACGGGCGCTGGAGGACACTCCAGAAAGCAGAAGGGGGCCCAGCACGTGTGACACAAGACAATACGCCGCGGGGTGGAGACTCTACACGACGCCCCACGGGACGCCGGCTCCCGCCTCGATTTTGTAGAAGACCAACGCTCCAACAGGAATTTAATAAGCGTTTTTATCGCCAAAATCTATGCCAGCAGTTAATTTCCTGACTACTGACGAAACTACGGCTCTAATTAAGTTAAAAAATAAATAAGAGAAACAAAAAAGATTTTGTAAGTCACCAGATATGTGGAAGAAAAATTGAAAAAAAAAACAATTTGTAGGTCCTTCTGATAACCTACATACAACCTTAACAATTTCATGTRCCTCTCTTTTTCAATTTCATGTTMCTCTCTTATATACAAAAAAATAAAAWWTAAAATGTCACAAGAAAAAAATTTACTTTTAAGCCATGGATAAGGTGATGACCAACCGTCCTGATTTAGCCAGGAAATGTTTAGGTTTTTATCGTCCTGTTCTGTTTTACGTTTGAGYCCTGATTTGTCCCAATTTAAGRACTAACACACCTAAATGTCCAGTTTTTTGAGATTTTTATTTGCAGCGAAAACAAAGTGTCCTTCAATTTAAAGTTTTCTTTTTGTCGTCATTTCATTTGTGAAAAAACTCAACTAAACGTAGAAATACCTACTTAATTTTTTTTTTAATGTTTGCAATAAATTAATATGTTAATTATTAGATTAGGGTAAAAAAATTGTCTTTTGTTTTTCATGTCAATATTTTGCATCCTATACTCTTATTATATTTAAATTTTTATACATTAGTAAAACCTATACTATATTTTTTTGTGTTGTGGAGTAGGAAACTTATTGCCAAACAAAGAAAATGGTTCTAATTTAATCGATAAAATACAATTTTTTCTTAAAGATTTTTCCTGGATTAACGCTTCTATCAAAGATTTCTATCAAAGTAAATTTCAATTCAAATTCCTTCCAAAATGATTTTTAAAAATATAAATTTTCTCACATACATATTTATTCTCCTTACAAGTTCTAACAGCATTATTTTTTTTATCAACTTCTGGTAGGGCAAAATATTAGTTCGACGATAAGCCAATCCTCTGTATGAAAGACAGTTTTTAAAGTTACTTTAGCATTTGATAAGTTCATTTCATTTATAAATTATAGGTGAAAAAATGGATTTTCTGCAATAGACAGTACAGTTTGTATGATAAACCGGATTTCACACAATATTCTGTTGTTCAAATCAAATTTAGATGATTCTGGGCTACATCAATGACATTACTTACTAACGCTATAATTCTCCTTCTTTAAATTATACTGTACACATTTTCCTAAAGCATATTGACTTAATGTGCGATTTCGATCATATTTCCAGAATATACGATTAATCAGTTATCACTCTAAATCTCTCGATCTAGGTAAATTTTCTAGTGCATCAAATATTTAGTGCGATTCGAGAATCGCACGCTTGGAATAAATTTATTATAATTATTTTTATTAATGTTCTGATTTCGAATTTTCTGAAATTGGTCACCTTAGCCATGGAGTAAAATACTTTTTTTGTGCCTAAGCGTTTTTACTTTTACCACGCCCAATGTAGTCTTTTTCTTGATTCTTTCGATGTTTCAGAAATTTCCGGAGAGGTATGCATTTTCAAATTCGGCTTTTATTTATTTTTTAACAGAACTTTTCTGAGATACAAGTTATGACCTAAATAAAAGCAGAGTTTTAGTTTTTTTTGTGTGAAAGAGCTTGTATACAGTGCCACCCTCAAAGCCAGTCCACTTTGTTCGTTTCCCCATTGTTCTGTAGCCACCAATTTGTCAAATTGCAGTCTCAGTAATCAATTGCGCGTTTTTAGCATCGGCGGTCTCGTTGCATATGCTCGTGGCTGCCCGGTAGGCCTTTGCCATGTGTCCCATTCTGGGCCCGTGCCCCCGACATCGAATCCGTTTCTAGATCAGACCCCCTACGTAGACCCCCCAAATGCACATTTTCAAAGTTTTCTACAACTGCCCCTAATGTTTTGTTTAAGTGAAAAAGTTGCACGACCCCCCTTCACGACGACAAACGGACCCCCTACCACCCATCGTCGTTTTATTTCGCTGGTTTGTGAGTTGTTGTATTTGTGAAATATGTGCTCCGCAAAGTTATTTGCCGTGAAATTGTGTGTGCGAGATTTTAGAGAGATTTGTTAGAGCGATGGAGATGTCAAAAAGGATAATTATGGCCGACGAATGATTTGCACGACCAGTTTGTAAGAGGCAGTGGCCGGTGTGGCCAGACCAACACTGTGCTTTATTGCAACGATGTTTTAACACTCTTCGAATACAGGAAATTAAACCACAAATAAGAACACAATTTTATGTAAAATAAAATTATAGTGGACTCACCAACCCACCTTCCCCTAACTGTCAGTTAGGTACATAATTACAATGTGAATATACGGAATGCTCCAAAACTTCCGGAACAGTCTTGTGATACATTACCTATTTTATTATACTAACACTAACTAACTAGCCTAGTTTACAGATAATAATAACTTGTTTAATACAGGTGCGCCAAAACTCGCGCCCCAGAAAAAAAAGCCAATTAAGATAAGAATACCAAGAACAAAAAAAAATGTTAAAAAATTTTTGAAGTTATGAGATTTTAAATTTTGCACTTTGACTATTTATTTCTGTTGGAAAAATTATTTTCCAAGTTTTTTTTGCTACAGGCTATATTAGAAGATGAAACAAGGAAGCTGTATCCTAAATTGTAATTGTTTAATGTTATTTGTAGCTTTTATTGGCAAAATTTTTGTACCTTTACTAAATAATTATAAAAAAAAAACATATATTTACTAGAGGTGTCAGGCCCTAGCCCCTAGGCTATCAACTTTGCAATAAATTCAATGGCCACCATGAATTGACCGCGACTTTACAAGATCATCAGTATCATTAAATATACATACCTAAATAAAAATCCATTGTCAAAAAATAAATGTCATAAATTTTTAACAGATAGAATTTTTTAAACATTTTTTTCCATGTTCTTGGTACTTAAGTTACTTGAAATTTTTCTCTGGAGCGCGAGTTCTGACACACCCTGTATAATCAACTTATTAATAATTTAATGTTTATTTACCTTGAATCAAGCAAAAATAATAGTTAAATTTCTTTTATCACGTCATAGTTTTCTGACCTGAACAATAATTTTCTTGCTTTCTGCAGGAATAACTCCGATTTAAAATTTATTTAAAATTGTTGCTGAATTATTGCATAATT